ATAAAGCTAGTATTTTAAAAGCTACTTATCCAAAAGCATCTTATGAAGCTTTTTTAAAAATACATTATACCGATTGCAAAAACTTATATTATTAGTTAAATAAAATTAAAAATTAAAAAAAAAAAAAAAAACAACGTTTATTAGTGAATGTCTCTACACTTTTTTAGATGTCTTTGCACTTTTCCAATTCATTCTTTATTTTAAAATTGTTTTTCCCCTAAAATGATTTTACATAACCTAAACACATATGTACACTTATAGCAAAAAAACTACAAATTTACCCGTGTTCTTTACCTTGTTTTTCCTTTTACATATATATCATAGATATGGCTTAGGGTTTGTTCGTTGTATGGGTCTAATAAGAGGTTGGGTCTCACTCGGTAAGATTCAGACTGTTTATATCACATTTAGAAGTCTTAAACTCGGATAGAAAATCAAAGAACTATTATATATACACACTTTAGTTAATTGAAATGTATTACAAGTTAGTGTTATAATAATGAATTATTTTTCTACATATTTTTTTATGTCATTTTATATTTTAGATAGTTTATCGGTTAGTTTTTACCAAATGTTGTTTCTTTTCAGGTAATTTATTAACTATCAATTAGTTCTTTTACCAAGCTACTAACTTTTTAGCTATCTGTTATTTTGTCAAACCTAACCTTAAAAAATTTTAATATGCTAACCTATATAATAAAATTCAAATAACAAAACCAATCAATTTTTGTATCTAATCGAGATACTTTATTTAGCCTAAACTATATACTAAATTCAAATAACAAAACCAACCAATTTTTTTATCTAATCGATATACTTTATTTAGCCTAAACAATCCGCATCCCTATTTACCATCGATGAATTATACAAGGCAATACTTAATGTCCTTTTCACATAAAATATTTCGCCACTATGCACTAAAATTAAAATAATACATAATACTTAAATAAACAATTACTATTGTAAGAAAAAGAATCAAACCCTTTTGTCATTTTCCTTCGCTAACAGATTCTAAACACTAATCGAAGCATCTTTATTAACACTTAAACACACACCAAAAACATCAAACATAACCTCCATATCCAATACCAAAAAACCATGACAAATCCCCTCTTTTTTGCCTCACTCTCCATCCCGCTTATTGCGATTCCTCTTCTCTATTGGGTCTACACCTATCCCAAAAACAAATACAAGCAAACCAATCTTGTTCTCTATGTACATGACTACCTCACCGGTGATGACAAGTCAGCAATGACAGTGGCCGGAAAAGAGGGGCCCACCACTAGTATCATGCATTTCGGGACCCTTTTGGCACATGATGATCCAGTAACTGTAGGCCCTGATCCTAAGTCTGAAGAAGTTGGAAGGGCGCAAGGTATGTACATCAACAGTCAACTAGATGGGAAGGCTTTGTTCATGATCTTTTCTGTCATGTTCACCGATGGGGAGTATAAAGGGAGCACACTCGAGATTCAGGGAGCCGATCCTTTTGTGCTGAAAGAAAGAGAGTTTTCAGTTGTTTCAGGAACAGGTTACTTTCGGTTTGTGAGAGGGTATGGGATCATGACGACAGAGTTTCTTGACATACAGAATTTGAGAGCTATTATCAAGCTTAATATAACGGTGAGGCATTTTTAAATGTTGCATTGTGGATTTAGATTTTAATTCCATATGGAAGTCTCGACACTTATTTATTGTTTTGGCTGGGCTGCGATTAAACTTGTGTTAACAAACGCCCATCAATTGCAACTTTGTGGCTTGAAGCCTTTAAGGCTTTACCCATCACTTTAGTGGACTTTTGGCCCATTGTTTCGGGATTATCAACTATATGTATTTCTATATCTAATAAACTTCGTCATCTTCTCATCTCTAAAAACATTGGCTAAATATGTATTTTAACAGAAGTAATCGATTGTTAATCAGAGATTAAAATCCGTATGTATGTTTATGGTTTATATTGTTGTTCATACCGAAGCTTACTCCTCAGTTTTAAGGAAAACGTTCAACCACATTGTCTTTACAAACTACAAGGCACATTAACGTAATAACGTCGACAAATAAACTATCATTTTATCCAACACATTTGTTCTATTTGAGTAACTCAGGGACTTAATGACTTTTATAGTTTTATATCAAACTTTAAAAAAGTATAGTTATTGTCATAATTATTACAGTATTAGGTTTCGAAAGGTATAAAACATCCTGTGATAATACAACTTTAAGAAAGTAAACAACGGCATGATAAAATCTCAGGGATATCACATATGATTTTAGGAGTCCACACCAGAAAAACTCCCCAAAACATTTACATTGTGTTGCAAAAATTGAGAGGTTGCACCGACCACCACAGGAACCCCTTAAATTTGCCCATGCATACGTCACATGTAAACAGGTTGAATAAAGAACTTTGAAACATTGGAAATTGTTGGTTTTTTTTTTTTTTGTTAATGTGCAACTTGGAATTTGGTGAACCGAATGGATAATCCGACCCGAAATAAACTGTCTATTGGAATTCAACTAAACAAGTTAAGAAACTTCATACACACGATAGATGATTTATTTAAAATACGTGGAATAAACTTTTGAAAAAATCTGCAAACGAAAAACTATAAAACTAAATAGAGTATTTAATGTTGTTTGGTCAAAGTGATATACGTCCACAGAAGAACGAGAGAGAAATGATTTTATTAACTTCTAAAAACAATTACAATTACTCACAAAATGTTATGCCTCACTTAAACTCTTAAACAAAAATAATCTTTTTGTTGACAGACTGCTCCAAAGGATAAGTTTTCAGCCTCATAATTATTGTTCTTGAACGTGTTCACGACAAACTAGCAACGAAATAATGATGAGAATATGTGCTTATTTATAGGAAAGTATGAGAATACCCTTCGCAGTTTGCTGCTATTATAGGAATTTGGATTTCTTTCCCCCGGATATCGATTTATCGAGAGTGCTACTCTTTTCATCAGCTAATGGGTCAAGCTTATCCATAATTAGGCTCTAAACAAAATCAATCAATCACATGACATCATGCAACTGTTTCTAGAATCTTCAACCTTGAGTGATATGCATGGCTACCTGTCATTTACCTAGGAATACGTTCTCAAGACACAACATCACATTCTCAAGTCCAACAACACATTCTCCAACTGCTTGAGCACATTCAACACATAGGCAATGGATTCAACAAGCGCCTAACCTTTTACCAAATGATTGGCAACCACTTTCTGAATCTTCGTAATGCTTTCTGATGCATGGCAACGCTTTCTGACTCCTGCCAACAGGCAACATCCCACATGTTATTTTGTTTACCTCTCTTTCTCGAAATCAATCTTCATCTACCTTGTATCCTTTATTGGACCCTCTTCCTCTGTCTTCGGTACTTAGGATATTACTAGAAGCTTCTTCGGAACTTAATGTGCGCATATCATCACCAATGATTAAAACGTGAATGCCAGCTTAGCACTTTTTGTTGAACTGCTAACTGTTATCAATGTATCGGACCAATGAACGACAAAGATGATAATATTAGCAATGTTTGGATTCATTCCCGAATCTAATGTTAACCGAAGTCAACCTTGTGATGATTGAATTGAAATCATTAACATGATCAGTTACATAGCCACCTTCCTTCATCTTTAGATTCACCAACTACCGGATCAAGAAAACTTTATTCGTCGTTGAAGGTTTTTCTTACATATTAGCTAGACAATGTGTTTATCAATTTGTAGGCGGTATTCGTAATGACAAAATTGTAAGCTGGTTTTTTCTCTGGAATTTGGAATCGTCGTATTCGAATTTGTTGATCCTAACTTTTCCAACTTCAACCATAACTCTAATCTCACTTTATGGGGATTCTAACAAAACAAGTTAAGCAACTTCAAACAAATGATAAACGATTTCTGTAAAATACGCGGAATAAACATCTAAAAATTTTGCAAAGAAAATTTTGTAAAACTGAATACAGTATTTTAGTCAAAATATAAGAATGATTAAATTCAAAAAAATTTACATAACAAAATACTATTTAATAAAAGGACGTTATATGTAAAAAAACATAAAAACAATGTTGGTACAAAAAAAAAGTTTCTTCCAATGATAATAACCAAGAGTAGTTATAATTAGAGAATTTTGTGTATACCATTATTAAATATAGTTTTTGCGTAGACTAAACTCTAAATATCATATGTCTTTCTTAAACTTTTACTTATCATATTTTCTCAAAAAAATAGTTTAAATATTTTATAATCCTCTTTATATTTTTGAAATCATGAAATTTGAAAAAAAAAAATAATAAATAAATGGACCATTTTGCCCTAAATCGTAGGATGTCTTCAAACGATCATTGGTTTTTATCCTTTCGTCGTCTTCTTCACAATCATCGGTGTTCACCTCTCTTTGTCTTCCTTTTTGTCTCTCATTAGCTTCTTTCCTTCAATCGTGTATAAGCAACAAGTAATTATGTCGTCTTTCTTTTTGTCTCATCGCTATCTTTCTTCTTGCTTTTGATTAATGTTAGTATGTGTTTGATAAAATTTATGTGTGTAATTTTGATCTTCTAATCTTAATGTTTTAGATTCTTGATCTTAAACTCTTTTATGGAAGCCTTGAATATAATTTTTCACCAATCCCTTTTCATATATGCTCTTGTTTTGGAAGCAAAATCAATCGGAACTTGCTGGAAATTCATGTTTGAAAAGAAAAGATGACCGTATGTTCGCCAAAAATACTAAATTATAGATCATTATGGTATTTTATAAACAAATTAAATTGTTACACACATAAAATAACACAAATAAAATAACTAGATATATAAAATAAAAATGTATTATTATCCTAAGGTGGACCGGTGGAGGAATAATCTACAACGCAAACACATGCTACAAGGGCTTTAAGCCTTTTAGCCCCATGGTCTCAACTCTCAAGTTGATTTGAGACCCACCAAACCCTAGCATCAAACATCTTTTCCCTGCAGAGAAAAAGTTAGAAGAACCATGTCTGATGAAGTGGTTGTAAACGGTGCCGGCGCCGACGTGGATGTTGAAATAGCAGCAAAGGAAGAAGATTCCGACGGAACTATGAACCTAACTGTTCAAAAATTGATGCAAAAGCTCGCGATTTTGGAGCAGGAAAAACAAGAACTTATCAACGATAAGGAATCGGCCACTGCAAAAATTAAGGAACTTGAGGATGAGATCAAGACGTCCGAATCCGATATGAGGGCGTTGACTTCGATTGCTGGAAGGGCGGCTGAACTCGAGACTGAGGTGTCGAGGATGCAACATGATTTAATTTCGTCGATGTCCGATGCACAAGAATCTAATGCTGAGCTATCTGAATTGAAAAGAGTCGTGGAAGAATTAAAGAAGAGCGAATCAGAGAAAGCAGAGAAAGTTGATGTTATTGAGAACGAGAGGAACTTGCTGTTGGAACGTTTGAATAAAGAGGCCGAAAAGCTAAAGGAGGAGGAGAATCAAATTCGCGAACTCGAGAGGAAGATTGAGAGTCTTGAGACGAGGGAGAGTAGTCAGAAGAGTGAGAGGCTCAAGGTTGAGGAAGAAGCTAAAGCAAAAATCAGCAAGAAAGATGATCAGATACAGAGTTTGAGCATGATGGTTGACGAGTTCCAATCTGTAATCGTCAAGAATCGTGCTGATATGGAGAAATCAGAAAAGGAGAAAGAGGAGTTGGAGATTAGGAAGAATGATTTGGAAGCCCTGTTGAAGAATTCAGAGAGTAAGGTTAAGGAGATGGAGGACAGATTGGATCAATTACAAAAAGAATTGGAAGCGTACGAGAAGATTAACAGTGTTCTGAAGGAGAAAGTGGTAGAGGATACCAATGGCATAGAAGCTAAGAGAGGTATCATCCTCAATGGTGATGAGAAGAAGCTCGATTGGCCCATCATTGCTGTGGGAGCTGGTGCTATTGCTACAGTAGCACTTGTGTACTTCCGTCATGCAAACAGGTGAGCCTGAGGTTTTCTTTGTGTTCTAATTAAAATATGCTTTGAGTTTTATAGGTTTTTTGAGTTGATCGGCTTGAACCATATTCTAAAGGACATGTTTTATTTGTCCAATAATCGTAGTCTATGTTTTGTATTGGTATAATATTTTTCATTTTATCCTTTAATATCATGATTGTCGATTTTGGTGTGTTAATTAGAAAAAAAGGTACTATTTGTCTAATTTTCTGTCAAGTGGAATAGTTGCACCTCCTATGGCCTCTTATTTCTTTTATGTTTTGTTTTGTTGCTGCGAGATCTTTACATACATTTTTTTATGTATTGTGTCAAATGCTCTTATTGGGATTTTGATTTTGCCTTTGTAGTGTTTGCTTTTCTTGTTAACGATGATGCTAAGTAGTCAATAAAGTAAAAGGGTAAACACCATCCATTGGTGCTCTCCCTATGTTGAGATAAATCACAATGCGTATTGTGTAAGGAGTGATGCCTCCTATATCTAAACACTATTTATAAACATGTGACAAGTTAAAATAACATAGATACTAAATAATAAGTGACTTGCTAATTTTGCCTTGAGATGAAAGTAGCATGCTATTTCTGTATTAAAAGAGAAAGTAGCATGCTAATTTTGCCTTCATACAAATTTCAGCCACTTTGTTCAAAGATGCCCTCTTTTAACATTTTTTCGATGAGATTTAAAATTATAGAAGACGGTTACGATTAATTGGTGAATTGATATGTAATTTGGTGACTGCATTACATGTGTATCGACAGTTAGTTTCCCCAATAAAAACAGATGGTTACATTACATGGATGTGAAAAGAAGTTTCCACAATGTTTGTTTGCCTTCTATGCATAGATGGTTAATTATGACCATTTTGTACTTGCAGTTTTTTTTTATTTACAATCAAACCAAGCAAAGTTCAATATTATGGTCTTCAATTGAGCGTTTGCTTTTACTTTACATCTCTTATTCTTGTAACACTTTATATATATATATATATATATATATAGAGAGAGAGAGAGAGAGAGAGAGAGAGATGCATGCAAACAAAATAAAATGAAACAATATTGATTGCATTGTGCAAGGAAACTACATACAGTTTAGGCTATGTAAACAATTTTCATCACATTGTATCACAACTCTATAGAAATTTAAAATGTATTTATACACGTAAAATACATTTTGTATTACATAGATAAGAACTCTTGGTTATAATATCAATGAAACATGAAAGATTAAACAACTTGTTTTTTATTCTCCTAGCATGGGAGTGTAGTCAACTTAGTCAAATACCAAGATAAAAATTACATTAATAAAATATGATGATTCGTCATAAATTGGGATTTTGGTCGGCGTAATCAAATACCATGATAATTGAGTAGATGTTTAGAAAACATGATGAGGCGGAGATGGTCAATGAGATAATGCTAGATGATATCCAAATCTCAAATCAATCTTGGAAAACCAAGATGCTCCCTGCAGCTGATCAAATAAGTCGTCGACCTCGGTAATGGATAGTTGTTCTTAACCTTTAACTTGTTCAACTCCCGGTAATCGATGCACATCCGGTATGAACCATTATTCTTCTTGACAAAAAGGATCGGTGCTCCCCAGGACGAACTACCCGACCGAATAAATCCCTTTCTCAACAGCTCCTGAAGCTGCGAGGATAACTCTTACATCTCGGGTGGCGCACGACGATATGGTGCCTTGGCAATAGGCGCCACCCCCGGAATCAGATCAATCTGAAACTCCACCTGTCGTTCAGGAGGCATACCCGGCAAATCCTCAAAAAAAAACATCCGGAAATTCACGTACTACTGGAACCTCAAAAACAGAATCCAACCTCTCATTGGCAACCCAAGTATCCACTACATAAGCTAAGAAGCCCATGCATCCATGTTGCAAACTCTATCTCACCCAGGTGGCAGAGCAGAAAACTAATCCTGATCTAGTTCCCTCGCCATAGATAGTGAGCACTCCCCTACTAGGGTCTTAGATCGTCACCATCTGACGCTCGCAATCAATCACCGCTCCAAATCGACTTAACTAATCCATGCGCACTATAACACAGACATCCCCCATCGTTATCGGCACCAGATCAATCGGAAACTCAACACTAAAAATCTCCAAAACACAATCCCGAAATACATCGGTGGTAGAAACAACATGCTCGTTGGCTAGAGAAACCCTCAATGGTTGACTCAAAGCCTCGCGCCTAATGCTGAAGCAACGACTAAAGGATAAAGACACAAAGGATCGACTCGCACCCGAGTCAAACAGCATCAAGGCAGGTATAGAATTCACAGGGAAAGTACCTATATGAAGCACAATATAAGCATAAACGAGTCATAAATACAACATTAATAAGGAAATACATACCAACAACAACGTCAGGTGTTGCTCGGACCTCCTTCGCAGTCAGTTGGAAGGCTCTCCCACGAGCTCTCGGAACTTCGACCTTCCCCGACTGACCATCAGTGACATACAAGGCAGCAGGAGCAGGGGCCTGGGTTGGTCTCTGAGTGAGCTGAGGAAACTCGGCCTTCCGGTGGCCAATCTGGTTGCAATGAAAGCAAATCGAAAATCCCTTGGGGCAATCCTTCGCCATATGCCCCTCCTTGTCACATTTGTAGAAAATCCCCTGTCGGTAAGATCCCTCGTGACTCTGACCGCACTTGCCACAAGTGCGGCCCTTCTGGCCTCCTACTCTAGTATCAGCGAGCTTAGCCCGCTTGGTCGCCGACTGCGACTGCTCTGGTCTCCTGTCTCTCCTATGAGACTCTTTTTCCTCCCTTGTCTGAGTCTCCAGCCCGATCTCGCTCCTCCTGGTATTGGTCTGTAGCTCAACCAATGTCTGATATGATGAGTTTGCCATGAACTCTCGAATGTACCTCCTCAATATGCTTAAGTACCGGCTCACACGTGCCTGCTCTGTAGCCATGTGCTCAGATCAGAATAACACCCTCTCATGAAACATCCTCGTGATCTCTATCTTCTGCTTGAGAGACAGAAACTCTTGAGCCAACCATTCCCTCTCCACCTGGGGAACGAACTCATCTCGAAATAGTTGGGTGAATCTGTAACAACCCAAAAATACGACCCAAAAATTTCGTTTGTCGATATAATCAAAACCATAATCAGGGTGTCATATAATAAAACCATGCGTGATGTATTCCAACATAAATGAAAACACTGTGCGGAAACTGTATCATACTACGGCAAATCAAAACAAACTAAATCAATCCCAGGCTAAAGCTAAGCTGTGGTGTGTGCGACGCCGTCACCCCGAGCTCTTCCCTTTGCTTGCGGAAGTACCTGAAACCAAAACTGAAACCGTAGGCACGAAGCTTAGTGAGCTCCCCCAAACTACCACATACCATACAATAACATATAAACACATATTGGGCCTTGCCCACTGCATCGGGCCGAAGCCCGGAAACTGCATCGGACCGAAGTCCGGAACTGACCGGGACCTTGTCCCCTGCATCGGACCAAAGTCCGGAACTAACTGCATCGGACCTAAGTCCGGAACTGACTGGGACCTTGTCCCCTGCATCGGACCGAAGTCCGGAACTAACTGCATCGGACCAATGTCCGGAACTAACTGCATCGGACCGAGGTCCGGAACTGACTGACTGAACATGGCATAGCATAACACATCAACTAGCATAAACACATATACGGCATACTACATCGGGCCGTAGCCCGGAACACATAATACTTAACGCATAAAACATAGCACACAAATCCTGTTCGAGCCACGAAGGCATCGAACATACTAGCTACTGCATCGGACCTAAATCCGGAAACTACTGCTAGCTGAACGGGCCGGCATTGTGGCCTTAGAAACCGTTCCTACTGGAAGGAAACTCACCTCGTAAGCTGGTTGCTAAGTGTGTGGCTCGGGAAGCTAACGGCTGCTGCTCCTGAATCTCCTCGGCTACAAGTCCATAAACACACTCAATCAAATACTAAACACTGCACTTGGGGTAAAATGACTCTTTTACCCTTGGTCAAAGTTACTCTCATTTGGACTGACTCGCCGAGTTGGGCCACCCAACTCGCCGAGTCCTACTCTCACTTTTCACTCTTACTCGCTGCTACTCGTCGAGTCTGGCATCGACTAGACGAGTACCCTCTTGATCCAAGAACTCAGACAATCTTCATCCGACTCGCCGAGCCGGATGAACAAACTCGACGAGTTGTTCTTGATCTTAAGGAGATTGCCTTGGACTCGCCGAGTTGATGAACAACTCGTCGAGTCCCTCCATCACTGAGTTTACCCTCAACTCGCTGAGTCCACTCTCTAGCTCACTGGGTTCACTCGACACTGGTAAAAATGAAGGAATCGGGAACTCGCGACCCAACTCGCCGAGTCGTTCTTCCCGACTCGCCGAGTTGCCGCCATGCAACTGATTTTTACTCGATTTTGTTTGAATCCAACACATACAATTGATAGATCTGGGTCCAATAAGCTGATTTACCACGTAAAGTTTCTAACTTTACGTGTACAACCTCATGAATAAGGGAAATAAGGCTAAAAGATGCACAAAATGGGTAGATCTATGGTTAATATGCAAAGTAACTCCAAAAAGACAGTAGATCTGGGCTCTACAACACCCCATCATTCAGATCCAAAGATATTTCGACTTATTAAGACCTTCATGCAAGCATAAGGCTTGAACAAGCATCAACTAGCTCTTAGGAGAGCTCTAATGGAAGTTTAAAGCATATAACAAGAAGGAAACTCCGAAAATACCTCAATTAACTCAGATTTGCCCTTGGATCTTTGCACTACAGCTCTTCTCCTTGCTTCTTTCTTCTTCTCCTTCTTCAAACCTTCACAAAATGGCACAAAACACTTAGCTCACACAAGGGAGGATTAGGGTTCTTTCTCACAGTGTTCTCAGGGTGAGGGAGGCGAGAATGGGGGCTATAAGGTGGTTTAAATAGTGGGCAACCCGGGGATTTAGGGTTTCACCCAGACGGATGGACTCGCC